TGGTATCGATTTTGCTTAGAAATTCTTCCACAGTGTCAATCTGTAAATCTTCATGCAGCCGCTGATTGCGCGCAATATAGTAATACTTAATAAGAATGTTGGGTCTTTTATAGCCTATCGTTCTACAAAATTTTCCGGCATAAATTTTAATAATGCACACTTATTCGTTCATACTGTGTATATCTTACTTATTTCCTTCCCTTGTATTTGCGTCTGATTGCATTATACTTCATATTGCACTGCTTCTTGATTACTCGGTGTGCTTTGTATTCGTATCCGAACTGATATTGCCGACATGCCACATAAAGCGCAGACTGAAGGACATTTATGTATTTGTACCGGATTGCTGTGCAGTATTTGTGCATTCATTCACATCACGTTGGCCTGTAACATATTTTTATTTAATATTCCAACTTTATTCTGAAACATTTCAAGTGATTATTTTGATAATATTCTTTTCTGACTTGCCTTTGAATTTTCAAGGCCAATGGAGACTTCTGGCACCCCACTTTCTTATCTCATCTCAGATTCCTCATTAGGAACTTCTGCACGTAAGTGATGTGCCCTTGAAGCATTAAATTACTAAGACGAACAAGTCGCATTATATGCGATATTAGCACAGCTAAAACAGATAGATATTTTTATTGAGGATTTCGATGATATAAAATGATATCACGAGTGTTCTTAACCTGGGGATTTCACAGTTTTATAGTTTCAAGAAGGAATGCAATCAATCATTTACTTGGCTGTTATGTACTAAGTTTTGGTTTATGAATATAAGAAACTACGTTTGTTCAAATTTTGGTATTTATCAATATTTCCTATACATTTTTTTTACCGAGTATTTAAATTTCTAGTTTTAATCTTATAAACAAATCAAAAGAGACCTCCAAATCAAATTGCTCTTCCATACAAATAATACAGCTTTCTTTTCTGTGACAGCTTAATGTAGGTTTCCCTTTTGAGATAGTTTTATAAATTTATTTATTTAAGTCGTAACACCGGATGGATGGGTATCGATTTAAGGTCTTAATTAACGTGAACTTTCTTGGTTTTCTAAAATGTTTAAGGTTTTCGAAACTTGTTTACTTCCTGTTATAAGTGGTTCACAACAATACGTAATTAAGGATAACATAAAAACTTTATAGATACTGTTGTGCGTGTACGGGTTCGTAACCCAAGCAGCACATGACGTAGCAAAGACGTTGCAAACTGGTCCAAGAGGTTGCAAAGTGGTCGTGGTAACGTCTTTGCTAAGTCATGTGCTACTTGAGAATGGATTGAATGCACACAAAGCCGTTGATAAAATATATTTTCTTAAAAGAAACATTTTACAGTTCTTCAACTTTACACAAAAGCACTCGTACAGCTCGACACTTCAAACTACTAAGAGCGTTAAACACAATGCCCTGCAAAGCGCATCTAAAGAGCGAAACTCACACAGAGGTATCTCACAAGTAAACCTTCTCTCCTTTGATACCGGTTTTCCGGAAACCCATATTTTTCTGAAAGCTTATGTCACAAGCAGAAAAACTGTGAAATCTTAGGGGCAAAGGATAAGCGTTTAGGAGCTATAGAACCCACAATGTATCCGGAAAATGTTGGAAACATGACACCAAACGCCTCTAAAATGCTAGTTTCGTGTATTTGTAGGAATTAATAATGTGTTAAGAAGGTGGATATCTCAATGTAAAGGAAAAAACAGCTAGTTGAAAAGAAACAATATACGTTGGATGTGACCTGTTATCGACTTTAGACAAAATCTATTGCAAGAAACAATCAATGTGCAATTTATAAAATAAAAATTGAGACGAGCAGAAAGACAGTTAACATTGGGCACATTTCACAAAAGGTATAGCCTCACAGTTTGCACACTCAATCATTTATCAGTGAATCGAAGCAGTAATCCATTGGCGCAATCCACATTCAGGTTCGTCGTCCAAGTATCCCCCTTATAAAAAGCATACTTAATGAAGTTCTTGAAACGATGAGCGCTGAACTGATACAGTGTAAAGTCTTTCTTCAGGATCATCGACAAAAATTTGAAATCTCGAATTAGATTGCGTAGATCTGCAAAATTTCATTTGAAATGCCGATAGTTTGACGATATGCTGTTTACATACGTAAACTAATATTTAAAAATAATGTACTTTTACGAGGCACAACATGTTTTGCAACGGCTTCTACAAACTCAACTTTCAAAAATGGTTCACTTTTTCTAGCATTCAGAAATGAAGCGGAATAACTTGCTCTATAATATTAGATGTTGTTGTAATGCTAAACTGAAGATTCATTACTGAGCTTTTAAGAGCGATTTAACCTTCGGTGTCATCATTGATTCATTTCATTCTTTCTCTAGTATCACATAATTACTATGTTTCATATCGCAGTATCTTCTCACATAGTACTCTTTAAACAGAGAGAATGTTTCAGGACAAATTAAACTCATTGATTTTGAGTTTTGTGCAAAAAAAAAAAAATACTTTTCTGCCCAATTATTCACTGTATTGTCTGTTTTTATTAATAATATTTCTTTCTTTGCACTCATACTGAAGAGTTACTGTTCAACAGGTAGATACAGGTAAAAGTGTTAGGAGCACCAGAAACTTCATTTAAAATCGAAAAAGTATAGCTCCCGAACACTAATCAACTACAGCAAATTATAAAAAAAGATATTGACATCAATGAAAATACATAAATTATAATTAAGAGAGATGTATTGATTAAGAAGAAGCCAAAAAGGAAGAATATTCAATACCAAGCAACGGATGATCATAACCTACGTCGCGAAGACCGCCTCCTCCTGTTTAACATTGAGCAGTCATGTTACAGTTCAACATCGAGCAGTCAATCTATCTGTGACCATTTCATTCCATGTTTCGCAGTTACCGTCGCTTATTGTGCATTTTGCACAAGTGATCCGTCTGTCATCAATTTGGCCCCTAAGCTGGCCTTTCAGGTAGTAGAATGCATGACTGTGGGGTCCAAGAGAAGAGCGTAGATGTCGTAGAGGAGACGATTATTAGTTGCCAGGTGTGCAGTCAATTACATCTGATTAGTCGAACGAATCCAGGTAGAAACTGAAAATATACAAATACATGGACGCAAAATATAATATACAGAAAAAGAACAGATGTAAGTTTACAACGACAAGTCTTCAGAAATTTGTGCAAAATCCACCATTCAGTAGCCAGCAGAGAATATCATAGCTGTCATAAATTCAGCAGAGTTCACGTGATATGGTCACTGAAGTGGAGACCCTAGGACCTCCCAGTGTATGAGTACTCCTCCATTATTTCAACCTCCATCTTCAGCGTTTGCTTCTGCAGATATGTTCTTGATTGCTTTACCTCTATATATTCTTCACAACAAATAATTGCCTGTCTTATAAACCATTTATTTAGCTACAAAGTTCGAAAACTAATCCAGCACTTGGATGGGAATAAGGCCCTGGGCCCAGTAACCCGCTGTAAAGAACTATTAGTTCAAAGACGTGATACCGGAGGAGATGATACTTGAGAATACATCCATAGATTGATCTTCACAATAGTTAAAATACTATAGCAAAGCAGTAGTAAAAAAATCATGAAGTACTAATAATACATATGAGTAAAATAAACATGCAAAGTACAATGTCCAGTAAAACGTATTTACAGAAACTTCAATTCTGAGATGTCATGTGACGTGAGTATCCAATGAGAAGCTGCAGGAACTCCAAAATTTTTATTAACATTTTGGAGTTCCTGCAGCTTCTCAATCAAGTCAATATTAAGTCAGACTAAAGTTAAATAATAAAATAGTCAGATAACTCCAAAACAATGAATATATACAAAACAATGAATATATACAGAGAAATGAATATATACAAAACACTGAGTATTTTAAGATTATAATCACATTAAACACTCACAACTTGAAAGACCAATTAAGTCTTTCAAGTTGTGAGTCACATGAACCTGTTTTTTGCCCATGTGCATCAGAGCTAAACATGTTAAACTTGATAGTCATGTGATCGTAGCCGTGTCGTAATTGCTTTTTCGACCAGAAGTTGTAACAACTTAGCTATAACATATTCCTGTTGACAGCTACAATGACCGTACCATGTTGTTTTTACTCAAGAGTCAGACTGGAATTCTCAGTTTTTTGCTGCGTTAATAGAACATAGCAAATTATAAATTCGTGAATTCCGCGGTGGGTCACAAAATTTTGCAGGTGTACTGCTGCGACGTATATACAATAGAATAAATACAAATATTTATTTTCATAAATATTTGTATTTATTCTATTGTATTTAATTTTGTGCGTGAGTTTATATTTTCCTATTCATTTATTTGCTTATTTGGGACATTTTATTTTGTAAATTTACTGTACATTTTGGTATTATTTGATAGTGCAATTGCGTTGTAGATATTTTAATTTTATTTAATTTTTATTTAATACTTTAATTTTTGGAAAATGCTTTTTCGAAGCCGTAATAAATGTTTTTTCTCGAAGCTTCTGTAAGCGCTTGGATAGCTCTAAAATTATTACTTGCGCCGGAGCTGAAAGATAGTAAATTTAGTTCTTTAACTCAAAAGTCGTTAGGATAGTGCTTAGCTCCTGCTCAATGATTATTATTTTATTGAGAATGATCAATTGGGCTGATATACCTTGCTATAGAACTTGCTTCCGCGGTACATATACTAAAATTGGAACCTTGTTATGTGAATAATTTGATGATTTGCGACATCACTCGCATGTTAAATAGAATTTGCCTTATCTATAGTTTTCTCTTTGTGCTATACATAAATGTTTGCTTTGCTGTATGAATTGTAATCTCTTTCAATAAATAAATATTTCTTTCTTCATCTAACCTAGTTATTTAAAAGATACTTATCAACTCCTAGCACGCAATAATATGTTTCCCAAGCTTGAGAATAAAAACTATATTTTTTAAATTTTAACTCCAAAGTTGTAACCTCTAGTATGCATTACAAGTTTTAAACGTATTTCTTTTTTAGTGTGCGATTGCGGCGACAAAGGAGAATGTGCGTTTCTTGATGGAAACAAATCGTGCAAATGCAACCATGGTTACGCCGAAAATGATGGAAAATGTGAAAGTGAGTATATGCTTCCGAAATTAAGTAGAAAAAAGTATATTTTAAAACAAAACGCCAACTGAACCAAAGTAAAGACCTCTTGCAGTTTCCAAAAATCTTATATGTATTTGCTTCTTAGAATGCAATTGTGGTGAAAATGGGGAATGCACGTTTTATAACGGAAAAAAGAGGTGCAAATGCCGCGACCATTACATTGAAAATAATGGAAAATGTGAAGGTGAGTATATGTTCCCTTCAACTTAAGGGTAAAAAAGGATATTTCTATTCATAACAGGAATTGCGCAAAGTAACCTTTAGGGTATTTTAGAAGGTTTTTCTATCCCTCTCTTTTAGAATGCTATTGTGGTGACAATGGAGAATGCCAAATTCTTGATGAGAAAAAGTCGTGCACATGCCACCAGGATTACGCTGAAAAAGATGGAAAATGTGAGGGTGAGTATAATTTTCAGGCTTCGACACAAGGAATATAATTTTAACCAATTTCGAAGATATTTCTTTTCCCTATTTCAACAATTAAAAAGTATATCTTTAAAGTAGCTCAATTAAGTAGTCTAATTATTTCTGATTTCTATATTCTGATTTAATTTGATACAACTGTAATAATCAAATTTCAGTTTTGCGCAACGAAATCCAGACACGTTTTTCAATTTTTGAACCATTGCAGGAATCGAAACTAAAATTTACACACAGATAACGGACGCAAATCATTACAGGTACACTACGAAAAAAAAAAAAAAAAAAAAAAAAGAGAGGACTGTTTTATATCTTCCATTCTACTGGAGTGATTGACGAAATTCAAATTACTTTTTTTCATGTCTGGAAAGCGCCACTTAGAATATAATTAGATTTATATACAGTATTGTTCTATTATAAGTATTTTGAAACAAAATCGGACTTTTCCTGAAATGATACGGCAATTTGTTTTCCGTATTTCGATTCTATGACTCAAATTATGCATGAATATTAAATTTTGTAAAACTTGGTGCCAAATTTGCGGAGAAATTCAAAAATTTATCTTGACGCATTTTTTTTCAGTTTCCGCCAAGAATAATTCGATTGGCGAATTTCTTAATATATGGCAACCTATTTTCCTTTCCCTTTTTACATTGTGCATGAGCGGAAAAAAAAGTCACTTCGTCCTTACTTTCGAAATAATTTTAACAAAGTGCTTAAATCACATTTGATGTTATCGCTTTCAACAACTTCAAGTCTCAAAACGCGCCAGTATATAAATTCACGTATATCTTCGGTAATTTTGAATAAAAAACTCTAATTTTTTGCAGGTATGCTTAGAAATACATCCACTTTAAGATGATGGTAAAACTTTTACAGGCTGTAATTCAAAATTCGTTTCGAAAAATTTATAAAAATTATTTTAAAATACAAATTTTAAAAATAAATCAGAAAAAATGTTCGAATTTTATTTCGAATGAACTAAATTTCGAAATGTGAAAGGGAGAAATAAATAGGTTTAATAAAAAAAGGGAGATTAATAAATATATACCAAATTCGACTAACATTGATGAGCTAAAATTTCGAGAGCTAATATTTAAAAACTATTCGTTCGACTTTTACAAAATTAATGTAATACATATCGAACAGGAGTTATAGAACTGCCCCCCCTTTTTTTTTTTTTGGCAGTGTACGTGTATCATGGCTAGCAACTTTAAATAGCGCTTAAGCAACATATTAAGTATATGCGCTTTTGCCTAAATTAAATAGCCCAATCAATTAAATCAAAATGATACCAAACTGGCAAATTAAGTTAGGTCAAAAATGTAGTTCCGTTAAGTGATGGGATTTATAACCAAAATAGAGTACTAAAGGACTCATTCTTAATGAAGCATTTTCGCTAATACAAGATTCTTTATAAATTTTGAGTGAAAAGTAATTTATGTAGTAAAATTTACAAGATACTTGTGTAAATCTCCCCCGACACCTTCGCTTTCATGCATGTTAATTCAAGACTTTTTATAAAAATAAATAGTAGTCTTAATTGGAATTATGAAATAGAATTTAAAGTAATTGAAATAAACATGAGAAAATTAAGAAACATAACAATGCTATCTTTGCAAAAACAAATCAAATAAAAATTGAAATATATATGTAATAATAAAATTCCATAGTCAAGAATACACTTAAAATTCTAACTGTATGTTCTTTTCATTTTTAATGGCGACGTTCTTTTATTTGAAAGTACGTGGAATTAAATCCACAGCCCCGTAGTCAAGTTGTTTTTCCCGCCTTTTCTACACGTACAGTTATAGAATGTTCTGAAAATATTTAAAGCGAACTGGATTGGCTGACGAGGCTGACGTCATTTCTTGGAAGCTCCGCCTTTCCAGAGGCTATAAAAGGACTCGCAAAAGAATATCGGGGCTTTTTCTTAGATGTCACGATGCAGTAAACTTCATACAAAAAGTTATTAGTAATTCTTTTTCATTTACTCCGGAGATCAGATTTTTGTAATTGCTATTTCCCCTGAAATATAATAAATGGATCCTGTTTTTTAAACTTATCGTCTGATAATTTAAGCTACGACTACATTTATGATTCTTCACCAATCTATTTATTCTGGACAAAAGCTGGTACATCACATATATATAAAAAAGTAAAATGAGAAATGTATATAAAGATATAAAAGGCCAGTAAATGCATTAATTAACTTACATTCTTCCTAGTGGGATGTCGATAAAGTGTATTCTTCTGTGTCTTACTCAGAAGGCGTGTGTGTTCGAAATTCCGTTATTGGCAGCGGGGATACATTGAATTATTACAGGACGTGGGAAGGGCTAGGAATGTTTGAGAGGCGTTTGTTGCGGAGTTCTTATGTGAGTGAAAACGTCTGTTAAAATTTTGAGTATACTAACTAGTGAATGGAAATTAATTAATTTCTAATTTTCGTGTCGGAACGAGGAAGAAAATTAGAAAAGGTGTGTGTGTGTGATTATGGCAAAGCCTCGAGGGCTATCTGCCTTCGTGGAGGACTTTCTAAGGGGAACTGGCTCGTATACACGTTACACATGGGGAAAACCACGAAAACGCCCATGCAGCCAGCCCGTTCGCGGAATTCGAACTTCGAACCGAACTACCAGTGTTCAGCGTCTTTTACTGCTCGGCCGCTGGTGTACAAAATTAGAAAAGGAAAAACGTAATTTTCACTGTCAACGAGCTATTTGACAGACTTAAGAGTATGAAATAAGATCATCTTTTAGTAACAGCATAAGAAAAGTCTATCAATTGGAGGATTCCAATCGCGAACCTGAAACGCGAATAAGAAATTTGAGACACCATTGTCTCTGTACAAGAGTTCAATGTCCAGAGAAATCAGAAGTAAACCGTAAGTGTGGCGCCATCTGCCGGAGTACCATCAATTAAACTTATTTGGCAAATATAATTGCTTAAAAGGTGCTGGTAAGCTTCTAATATAAGTTTCCATTAGTTAAAATATGGGTTATTGATTTTTCATGAAATTTTAACTGCTAAAGTGGTAGCTGGGGGCGTCGTCCTCATCCACTCGAGAGTTAAAATATTAGCTATCCTCCCTTGTCTACAGAATGAAAAATATTTATATATAACTATTTATAACTATCATATAACTATATATAACTATTCCAACTATTTATAACATATTTATAACTATCAAGCTATAGGGGAGGGGCGAATATGGAGGGATATAATAATATTTACATAAACGGCGCAATAAAGTCTCCTAACAACATGAACCAGATTAAGTTAATTACGGACAGATACTTTACAAAATCATTTATTTTGGAAGTTATTTATGTTAACCATTTTCGTTTTTAAAAACAGTTTGAATTTCATAAAGCAGATCAATCAATACTTTATACTGTATTGAAAGCTCTTAGCACTTTCCCATTTGTTTATGTCACCTCCTTACCCCCGTCCTCACAGATCATCACTGTCAAGACTCAAGTAAAATCAAACACCGTTACAGACAGTACTTCAACTGAGCTGATAACGTCTGCCTTCGAGCGATAAGCCAGCGATAGTTCAGTATTGTTACTGGTATTTTTTTATGCAAATTAAAGCAGAGTGTTACCCTTTTGATAACTAGCCCTCGTTTTTGTACTGCCTTCATTTCCTGATGAAATCTCCGCCCACAGTTGCCCTGCGAATGCAATTAAATTCTATAGCGAAGCAGTTTTAAAAAGTTAGAAATTGGGAAAATTGCAGACTTAAATATACACTTTTATTTAAACTTTACTTAAAGCAATGCATAGAAAATTTAAATTTAACTAATTCCCTTACCTGTATGGCTACAGTACCTACTAATGCTGAAACTGCTTAAACTGAAAAAAGAGAAAGGGTATGATTTACTATTTTGCTCTGTAAATACAAAACGCACATCGCTGATCAATAAATTTTTAGGGTTGAAAAATGTTTAACACAGGCAAAATTCTTTTAATTTTTGTTACGTGTTTTTGTTACGCATATGCATCTATGGTTTGAAGTTTAAATTTTCCACCATATTAATGCATAAAACTAATCTTAATCTGTAAACTTAACAACAATTACTATTAGTTTTTTTTTTTTTTTTTTTTTTTTTTTTTTTTTTTTTTTTTTTTAAAAGTCCAAAGGGGTGTTAGCCCAGGCGGGTGTCAGTCTCAAAATGGCATTTTTCGTCGAATCCCTGAAAAGGTTGAATCATTTTTCAAATTGTTGCCACCAAATGTTACTACTCTGTACGGTACAAAGTCCGAAATCCGGACACGTCGAGACTTCGGCGATTCCGAAATTTGGATTTTTCCGAATAATAGATCATCACTTTAAATCTAGTAAGATTGCATGTAGAAATTATAAAATTAAAAATATGAAATAGTGATTTATGAAATAATAAAGTATTTTTGATCTAAAGAGTATCAAAATTTACAAAAAAAAAAAAAAGCTTAATATTTATTTGTTTACTTCATTAAACATTTCTTTCAATGTAAGTTGTTTTAGGTTGCTTCGTGTTTTGTGCTAACATTTTCTCTTTAATTCTGTAGACAGACATAGTCTCTTGTTTAGTTAAATCGTTGAAGTCCTGTAACTGCTGTTTCGAGAATTCCGACTAACTTGTCAATCGAAATTTTCTCGTTTTCGTTAACTTCTCTATCACCTTCCTCACTACCGGTAGCTGAATTTTCTGGATCTAGAACCATACTACAGATTTTGCCATTCATGATATAAAAACTTCTTTTACATCATCTTCCTTTATTACCACTCCTTCACATTTCTTTACAAAATCCGTTAATTAGAAAATTTCACCATTGTTTTGCGATATCCGAAAACCTTTAAAATTAGCGGTTATCATCATCAAATTTAGCTATCCGTCACTAAACACATTTGGCTATGCATCATTAGCTTGGCGACTAACGACTAGTTGTTCCGCTAAATTTTATCTTGCTTCTATCGCGCACTGAGACAATTAAGCCTGAATTGTATTTATTATATTTATGTTTTTCTTGCACATGCTTAATGCTTATCAGAGTTCTGAATATATAAACAGCCGAAACATCGCGGATGAAAACGTAGCAGAGAAAACTACGCAAGGCGAAAACGTCGTGCTACAAAACATCGCAAAGAGAAAACATCGCAGTTCTAAAACATCGTGGTACAAAACATCGTCGTCGAAAATAAAGCGTTTCAAAAACTTCGCAGTTTGAAAACATCGTCGTCGAAAATATCGTGGTAAAAAATAAAGTATCTACAAATCATCGCGTGACGATAACATCGCAGACATGCTTTTTTTCAGGCTTTAATAACTGTAAATAGATATTCCCATAATAATTTGTGAGCGCAAGATGTAAAGAAGGATAATTTTTACTTTCACATTTTTTTATTAACTAAATTTTTGCGGAATAAAGTAAGAAGGAAACTTAAGCATAGAAAATTAAATGCAACTTATAGATTATACTTTTATGAAAAATTACCAGTAAAAACTTTATAAAAAATTATTTATTAATGGTCTTTGTTAGTTAACTATGCCGGTTTAAAATTCTATTAAGTGCTATAAGTTGCATTAATTTTCTATGCTTAAGTTTCCATCTTATTTTGTCAGCAAAAATTTATTAGTTAATATAAAATATGAAAAACAAATTATCCTTCTTTCTATCTTGCGCTCACAAATTATTATGACCAATTATTATTAGACCATTCCGAATAATGGACGTTTGGATTTCGGACTTTGTACTGTATTATATTTACAGAAATCAAATACTGAAGCAGCTGCATGAATGTATGTATATATCAGGGTATATATATATTCACGTCAGTAAGAGCCGCACGTTTGAATTCAGGAATATTCGAGAGCCGCATTTAGATTTTCTAAAAGCTACAATTTACATCATTATAGAAGTAGTGGAGGAGGTTTTAAATAGAAAGAAATCAATTATGACTTTGTATCCAAAAGGAAGTAATTAATTAGTCTAAACTAATTAATTACTTCCTTTTGGACACTGAATAGTTTTAGTTTACCATATTTCATACATATATTTTATGTGCATGACCCGCACAATTTGCCTGTGAGAGCCGTATCAGGCTCGCGAGCCGCACTTTGGCCACCCCTGGTATATATGTTTCTCGCATTGTGAAAAAACAACGCGAGAAACATACCTGCATTCAAACAAACGCAAACTAGAGGCAGAGTTTTGAATAACATAGTCCTGCACCCGAATATATGCACCTGGAAGCCCGAATTTGGAATTTCGAATTGCTTTTCTTGTCTATTTCACATTTTTTTTAACTTTAAGGAATTTTTGATTAACAAACACAAAGATTTCAAACAGAGTAATGGAAGGAAACATTTTTTATCTCCAACGCGCGAGAGTGCCTATCGGTAATTGTAAAGATATGCTGTTTCTAAATATTTTTAGCCCAAAGGAATATTAGCCAAAATGCTGTCAAACGTGCATGTGTGTGTAAATGAAAAAAAAAAAAAAAGCATTCCCTTTTAGCCGTGATATAAAATCTGAAAAGTTTTCAAATTTTTTATTTAACCTTTTTTTAAAATTTTTAGAACAGATTTTAAAGTTTTTTTATTTATTTATTTTTATTTTAGGCTTAATTGCAAAAACCGTTTGGGCACATAGTGACGTTGTAAAGCGCTGTGAAGTCAAAACACAGTTGACATCAGAGGACATCAGGGGTGTTAATACTCCCTATAGGGAAAAGGGTTAAGGTTTAAAGCTCTGGTTTGAATTTGTAATAGATTTATTCTATAGCATATTTGTCGATAAATTCAAATAGAATGTAATATGAAAGTTATTTAAATGAAAAAATTAACTTAAAATTTAACTCGGAAATTAAAAAATGGTAGGAAAAACCTGAAATTCTCGAAAACGTCTGACATTTGTGGGAACAATAAAAAGTTGGAAAGTCTCATATAATCACTTGAAATTAGAAAATATTCACGGTAACTCGAGCAATGATATAGTTTACTGATACTAGTGTGATCCCTTATAGCATGGTTTTTTTATATGAGATCTTATTCATCTTGAAAAACAATCAGGCTATTAACACTGATTTTTGCTTATCTTATTAAACAGAACTTAACCTTTCTTCACGCGTGTAGTTTCAGTTTCAGATATATCTCTACACCTGTAACTTTTAACAATACATCTCCGAATGCTATCTTCATTAACATATAGGTGCATTTCACGACCGACGAAAAATTTTCTTGAAATGTACATCATCTTAATAAATTGAAAATTCGATAAAAAAGTTTTTCTTCCAAAAAGAGAATAAATGCTCGCATTCAGTTTGTTTGATACCCCACAATGCTCACAATGCAATGAGACTCCACAATGCTCACAATGCAATGAGACTCCACAATGCTCAATTTCCTTGTTTCCGTGAGGGAAAAAAGGTTAATGAGATGAATAGTGGGCTTCGTAAAGCTAAATCCCGGGACTTGTGGGCGAGTCAATAATCAAGGAATGAATTAGAACTTGATTAATTTCTTTTTACAAGCTAATGATTTTGTAATGCGACATTTTATTACACTTCATTGCAGTTAACACCGGCATACAAATTTACTACTCAGTTGTAAACACTTACTGAAGATTTAAAATGCAGTCGGCAGATTTAAGCACTAATATATCTTCACTTCAATATTTCAGTTTGCAATTGTGGAGATTATGGCAAATGCCACTTTGGCGAAGCAGGGAATAAAATGTGCTACTGTCAAGACGGTTTTGTTGAAAACTATGGAAAATGTATAGGTAAGTTTTTCAATCTATACCAGTACATTTCATTTTAATGCCATACGATAGATGAAAGTTTAAAGGATTTCAAAATTTTATTAATAAGTATGTAAGCATATTGAAAATTGAGTTCTGAGTATTTACGACTTCTTGGTACTATTATATTAATACAAACACAATCAAAAATATAAAGTGACAGTTACGGGTTAACGTATGAGCATATGCAAAACAAAAATAGGTTTATGTAAATTTCTACTAAGCATATATACCTATGCGCATTGCAAAATATGGAAGATACCTGTAAATGTGATAAATTATCTTAATCTTCATCGAGCAAGCAGGTAAGTTTACACCGATTTCGTTTCGTAAAACTATATTTAATTCGACATATAGTTACGTACATCGCGATGTAAAAGAAAATATCTAACATTTTTTATATTAAAACCCTCTAAGCGGCAAGGCCGTATATATACGGCATAGAATATTTATTGTGATATCTGTAAGAACGTATATACACGTGTATATTAAAATATGTCAACGAAATTAAAGAAATATGTCAAAAGAAAACAAATCCAGGTATGAAATACCAGGAGAGATTTTACATTAAAATCAAAAAATAATTTGTTCTCATAGTAGTTTTGGGAAATTTGTGCTTTCTTAGCAAAAATCCTGGCCGCCCAGAGGGTTAATAAAATTATATTTTACTTTCTTTTTATGTTTTTATGCTAAGAACCATTTGCAAATCTAACATAATTTACGCATGCTGTTTTTTAGGAGTTTTAGGAGCAGTGGCATGCTGTCACTGCAATAAGCTGATCTCCTAACATTTAATCATGAACGTTTTTCAGTATATTTTACTTGTCACCCAAAAACATCCTTAAATTGCATTCAATAGCCGTCAAAATGGATATTTTCGTTGAAATATGATACCCTGAATTTTTCGTGATTACAATACTTCCTTCACCCTTTCGTACCTTTCGTACAGGGAAGTAAAGAGGTATAAGAAAACCAATAGCAACCATATTATTTCAATATGCAGAAAACCGATAGCAACCATATTATTTCAATATGCAGAAAACCGATAGCAACCATATTATTTCAATAGACTGCCACACTCATCAGGAGTTTCAATATTCTTCACACACTAGTATGTAGAGTCTGTATTTAAAGGATTACTATTTTATACATTTTATTATTTTTTTTAAATGGTTCAGTGACAACCATTTTGCTTCAATGTGCAGAAGGCCAGAATCTCATGACTTTCGATATTCTTGAGACATTACTATATATATATTACTTTATATATTATTACATACATTTTATATACAGAGTCTGTTTTTAAAGGATCATGATTTTATACACTTTATTATTTTGACTGTCACCTTTGTTAAAGAACCCTTACTAATTACACAATTAATAAAGAAGTCAAATGCACAGAAAACTTTCAACTGTTTTTATAGGGGACTAAATTTCGAATGGATTCCAAGAATTTTCGAAAGATCGAAAATGAATGAGAAGCTTCTGTAAAGTGGGGTGCTAAGTAATAATTGTCTGCTATAGGAGACACGGAATTCATCTTGGCGAATTCCGCCCTCAAAATATGACTTCTAAATTTCTGCTTACGATTCTGCTTTTCATTCTGCTTTATTCATTCTGCTTTATTTCATTCAGCTTTTATTTTTCTGTGGCAATAGCTGTGGCAGCATTTAGCGTAAAAGTTAAGACCAGGGAGGTGGATAAATAATTTAACTACGGTAGATTGGTAGATCGTCATTCGTATAAGTCTTGGGCCAACTTAGCGGCACTTCATTTCCCTAAAACTCTTTTTCCCCAAATTTCCCTAAAACTCTTTTTCCCTAGGGCGATTGAAGGTGAAAATTTATAACTCCGGATAAAACGGGAAAAACATTTACATCATAAACCAAGCCTTTCTTAAGTGATAGCAAATCATGCAGAAGGAAAAGCATCTAGACACAGCGTTTTTATGAAGTAAAATACGTGACAGTAACACGCAGAAATATATAAAAGTCCTGCATCTTGAGCACAGAAATCGTAAAGCATAAAAGTCCAAAATTCTTCTAATACACAAAATATCTTCTAAAACACAAAATAAGTGAAAAGGCGAAAATTTAAAGCAATGATATATACAAGTCTCAGTTGATTATACACTCAACTTCCAAAAGTTAAGCACGGAGAGGAAAATGCTAATTTCCGGAGGCCAATCAGAATTGAAGAGGATGCAGTTCGCTGCAGAGGTAGATGGAAGTATGCAAATATGTTAGGCTATAGCTTGTGTAGCTTATACATAAATCCTGCACTGATCAAGGTTTTAAAATCACTAAATGTGCCTGAGTTTCTATTGAATTCTTTTTGAGAATTTTGATTTTTTATGTTTTCTGGACGCCGATAAAGCGGCCGCATAGAATTTCCTTTCAGTGTGATTCTTTTCAATCGGAGGTTTACTCATGCTTGGGGAAATATTTGCAGTGCAATGAGGATTTTTCTTTCCTTCGTTTTCCTGTGCTTCGTTAGGCTTAGATTCTTTGTTTCCTGGTCTTTTGGGGCATTCAGTACTACCGGCTGCGTGGGATCCAGCACATAGCACAACATTTAGCAGCGATCTCTTTTTTTTTTTTTTTCCATTCATGGGAAAAGACCTGTGATAACCTAGAAACCTCACATTTCTGAGGTTTGTTTAAACATGCTCTCTGTGTGTGTCCATACCTCTTACAGTTGATGCATTGAAGCCAGGCCGACTCCGATATGCTCCAACTGTGACTTTCACACCTAAAATGTACTTAACCTCATAACATTTCTTGCCTTCTGGGTTCCTAGGCATTTCGGTATACTAAACAAGTAGAAGTGTACCATTTCTCATCCTCTTGTATCTGATGGCATTTGATTTCAGGGACGTTTAACAGCTCGCTTTTAAATTCTTCAGCAGGCATGTCAGCTGCAAGAAATCTGGGTTTAGATGTAAAGTATGGAACGCTATTTTCTCTTTTTGAAATTTGTCCTGTACTCTACAGAAGTCATCAGCGCTAGTGAACTTTAAGGGTATTCTTTAAGGGTATTTAAGGGTATTCGATTTTTCTCTCAACTTTTGTAAGTTTTATAGAGTTCTCTTAATTTGTTTTCAAAGTTGAAGCCAGTTCGTATTTGTTTGTGTTATCAGGAGAGGAGGAATCTTGTATATATTGACTTGAGACGTTCGCGTGTGTGGTATGTTAAAATTGTCGGCATCCATGTTGGGTCCTCCAGATTTTCGTTTCCGTTTAAGGCAATGACTTTAGAGCTGCTGCTCATGAATTATGAATGTACTGAAGATCCTATATATGTTCTATTACGTTTGGTGCGTTTAACAATGGTCCAGTTTGAATTTTCCGATTTGGTGTTTTCTTGGTCATTCGGTTTAGCACTTCCTAAAGAAGTGATGTTCAAATTCGGCAAGTCCGCCTAGCAGGCTGACAAAAAATTCTGTTCTACTTCTTTTTTGTCATGTTGGAGCGATTGTGTAATTCTTTTCTTGTCCTCAGTGGAATTATCGGTGTAAAGAACACGAACACTATCAACTTCATTCTGAAAATCCAAAGCTCGAACATATACCTGATAAACCGATTCAAGCCGGTCCGTCCATATCACTATGCTGCCTGCCCTAATCGCAACGTTCAGTTGGCATTCGAGAATAAGAACAAAAAACAATACTCACGTACCAAGTCAGGATGGAGCTGCGATGGTGTTTGCAGTGCTATCTTGACAATATGACATTTATTGCTTATTTCATTCTAATTTTTTAATATGTGATACATTTTTATTGATTTTTTTTTTGATAAAGTTGTTCTACAGAGTAAAATTCTGTGCATGTTTTAAATGTAATGTTTGGTGCTCCCTTGAGGCACTTAGCGGCTAGTATAAAATAAAAGCTCATGGTAGACTACCTCATTGTTAGTAATATGTTCGCAAATGATGCTGTATAAGCTTAATTTTTCATATCGAATTTTTGAATGTGATAGTAACAGCGCTATATATCGGTGGAAGTTTCAACTAAAATTTATTCTTATTCCTCCCCCACACACACACACACCGACCAAAAAAAAATTGCTTCATTGACTAGTATCTCAGTGTGAATCGCCAGTTTGCTATTTTATTTTATGATGTTTAAAATGTGTCCAAATTTATGGAGCACTCTGCATGCAATATATCCTAACGTTTTTTATTTGCAATCATTCCCATGGCATTATTTTCAGAATGTAGGATTTTACATTCCTAGGGTCACACAAATGCGGACCGAAAAACCATCCGTCCCAACCCTTTCTCGGGATTCGAGCCCTGGCTAGTCAGAATAGTAGTTGCATTATCTAAACACATGAGGTAGTTATAAAACCTGTTGATTTTTCTAGTAGAAATGCGCTTGTTACAATATTAATAGATTTAATATGACTCCGGGCCACCCAGTCGGTATGGTGGTCAGAGAAGCTGACTGCGATACCGAAGGGCCTGGGTTCAAATACCGGAGGAGGTATGGTTGTAATTAATGGACTGGGTTACATTTGTAATTGTTCACAGTCTGCCATTGGAAAAAAAATATGACTCCAGTTGAAACTGTTTATATGTTCGAATCTACGTTTGCAATTATTTCACTCAAATTACAGTCAAAAGTCTTTAATCCGGACGTCCATAATCCGGAATGATCTATAATCTGGACCTCAAAGCTACAAACTTTCTGCGCATATGCGTTTACGCATGCGCGTAATACGTTTACTCATGGGCGTTTAATGTATAACGGACGGTATAAGCTAAGCTAAAATTATCTAATTATCTATTTCAGTTAATGTTGCAGATTGCGTTGTTCCTTAATCTTCGAATTGGATCCGGCTTATTATTTTTTGCAGACTGTTAGAGAAATTTTATAAAAGTAAGCTTGAACTTTCGATTATGTCAAAAAGAATTTCCGATTCTGGAGCTGCCAAAGGATCTACAAAGCGAAAATATGTTTCGATGTCCATTCAAACAAAAAG